TTCCTGCTGAGGCCAGCACTACTCCAGCCAGGCTGCTAATTGCCTCCAAGCTGTCCTGGTAGAAGCTAGCTTGTATTTTTATGTTACAGGGCAGCAGCAAAAGCAAGACTACAGTGTAGACATACCATGTGTCTCAAACCCCAAGTGCAACTTCATTTAGACAGAAAAAAAATATAAATAGGTAAAAACAAATTTTCTGGGTGATTTTGGAGAGAGCTGCCTCGAGGGTCCATGTTTCTCACACGCACTCAACTAGGATACCTTCATTTTGCCTTTTTCAGGAGCTGCTTCATTGATGAGTGGTAGCTCATCCCCATTCACTGACAGGATCCTTTTTTCTGGTGGCTGCTCCTCAGGCTGACGGGCAATCAGCAGACGACAGGTAAGCAGGATCCCAAAGACTAGGGCATGTGCGTAACGCTTGAGTGGATCCCCCACTAGCTGGTGGAAAAAGAGCACAGCCAGCACAAGGAGAAGGAGGAGAAAGTTGGCTACATCTTTGGGGCGACCAGGCACCAGCGTCATGACAATGCCACACACCACTTCTAGGGCACCAATGGTCTTGCGGAGAAGGATGGAGCTGACTCCCATCTTCTTTAGCATGGGAAGGGCCCGCACATAGCTTTTGTATGCTCGTTTCTGAAATCAAGCAGTAATAGCATAGAACACCATAATGTGAGAAAGTAAAGGCAAAAGTGACTTCCGTTGAAATAGATTGATATGGCCTAAAGATCACTTCACTTGTCACAGACCCCTGTGGCACAATATCCAATATGCACCCCTAAAGCTTCTCTTGGAGGGATATTAACACCGTCAACCTGCAATTCCCCCTTTACAAGCTGTTGTCTCCTTACTGGAAAACAGTTCTGCAACCTAACACCCATCTTTGGAGTTAGGACCAGGCCAACTGTATCTTCTCCTGAAATCTGAAGTTACAATTGCTAGACTTAGGAATGCAGAACCACGATGTTGAAAACATACCTCTGTCTAAGAGTTGCTTATCCTTTATAATTAAATAACACACCTAGTCCCTGCAAAGCCAAGGCAGAGCCAGTAAAAACAGAAGTCTCTTTCTACGTCAAAGCAATTTACAATATCCCAGTGTTTATGGGCAGTACAATCTTAGCATGGGACTATACATCAAAGCTGAGATTCACCCACCCTGTCCTGTGCTTACATACCTTTATGATCCTTTCTTTCCTCAGATGAAAGCAAGCTGACATTTGACATCCTTTACTCCCTGGTTTATGCTGGATTTAGAAGCAGTGTAAGTTGCAAGACTCAGCCTCCTTACATGGCTGCCTCATTGTTTCAGGGAAGAAACAAACTCTGTGCTTAGAAATGTTCAAGTTCTTGCATTTGAACATTAGTTGCTAGTGGGCTTGTTGTTTTTGTTTGGATGCTGTGTAAGGCAGAGTGCCTCTGCCTTCTCTTTGTAAAACTGGAGATCATTCCTACCAGTAGGCCTGACTTTTAGTAAAGCAGGAGGGGACAGAGGAGCAAAATATTTTACAGAGCAAGGATTTCACAATGCTTCTAAAGGCTCAGTGCTTTTTTCTGGCCCTTATGTAGCAGAAGCTTAAGAGCTTTGTTTTCTGGGCATTTCATCTCAGTCTCTTGCTCCTGAGTTACTTCACAGCGATTCTTCTCTGTGAGATCCCTGTGCTGCGATGCAAATGAGGCACTGTGATTCAGATGTTATGTGAGAGCTAAGGAAAAGCAGCTGGGCAGCTGGAGCAAAGGGAGAGAACAGAATGTGCTGGAAACTTCCAGCACTATTTTTTTTTTACGGGCACAAAAATTATACCAATGCTTTTCAGCAACTGCAATAAATATAATGGGGATGTGCTGGTGGGGAGGGGGGTAAGAGAATAAACAAACATAGACAAGGGAGAAGAATGTGGCAGCCAGCCCCCTGCCTGCCTGCAGCTTGCAGCCAGCAAAGCTCTGCAGCCTGGTTGGCCCTGGGCAGAGAGGAGGACAAACTAGCTGACCAGCTGGGAAACACACACAGTGACTTCTGCCTCTCCTCATCTCTTTCACATTAGGCAAGAGGAGGAGAGGCTCATTTCCGAGGCTGAAAAGAATAATAAGGTGACTATTAATAATTATCATCTTCTGCCAGCTAAGAATCTCAAAGGATTTCATGGTCATGAATTAATCCCTGCACAAGTCTGCTGAGGTAGGGACAGTTAGTGTCATCATCCTTGCTTTAAAGCACAGAATTTTGGGGATGATCATCTGGCTGCCAAAGCAGGCATCTGCTTTTCCTACCCCCAGTCCAGGGGGTAGGTGTTACCCTAGGGATCAGCTGTACTTGCCTGCTACATGTCTGGCACTTCTTCAGCCTTTGCTTTTCAGAGACCCTTGTATCCCCATCTTTTGCAGGCATTGGTGTGCTACCCTGTCCTCCTTGCCTCCCCTCCCTGTCCTTATCCACAAGAGGTTTCTCCATGGATAGGCTCAGATGGAGCCCAGGCAAAGGCTGCCAGGATATCCTCGGCACTGCGTACTATTTTTCTCTCCATGCCCATCAAATAAGGAGACAGATAAGCTTCTTCCCTTTCCCTCCCATTGCTCAGGGCTCTAGGGCAGTCACCCTCCGTGTATCCACTGCAAACACTGCTGCTCCCGCAAGATTTAGGGGAAAGAGCCCTAATGCATCTCCCCCCATGCTGCCACTGCCGTACTCACCATCTCATTGTAAGCATCTCTGCTGAGCCGAGGGGTCAGCTTGATGGTCCCCATAAAGACGAAGAACAGCCCTAGGGCCACCGAGAGGGCAACGATGGTGATAGTCCTGGGAGATGCCATGGAGCTGCCGGGGACCAATCCTGGGAGCCAGTCCTAGCGAGGCCTTCTCACTCTGGCTGCCAGACCAGGCGGGAGGTAGTCAGTCACCATTGAAGGAGATGAGGAATAAAGCTGCAGAGGCAGCAAGGATGACAGCGGGAGGGGGATTCAGCCTCCTCCACTCAGCAACGTCTGGGTCCTAATGCCCGGCAGCCACGCAACCAGCGCCAGGCAGCTCTAGCACCTGCTGAGCAATGAGCATTCCTACCGCTCCTACCATTCAGTCATCCTCTGTTTCCTTGCATGTTCCATAAATTACCCACAGAAAACAGAAACTGAGCCAGTTCTAGGGATGTCGGATGGCGTCCAAATACATAGCACAGTTGCTCACTAGTGGGAAAACGAGGACGTGTTAGCAGAGGGCACGGGAGTAACCTACTATGGAGGAAAAGTGGTCAGAGGTCTCTTTTACGTAGGCAGCTTTCAGTTTCAGATACTCAGATGCTAATACACAGCAAACAACATATTGTTTAATAGATTTGCCCCAGAAAAACAAAAAAAGATGTCTTGCCTCTGTGGCTTGCCTGGAACCTGATGCCCAAAAGGCATGTTGAGGCCACTGTACTACCCTCCCCCCCCACTGCAGATAAAAACCTGTCCTGTATGTTCAGCTCTCCAGACCAGTGGAAAGGTTTTCTGATCCTCTATTACCTTCTGATTTAAAGGCATTATCTCTCCTCCTCTAATTTGCAACAAATCTCCTTTTGACAAAAGCATAGCCAGGCTAAGCAGAAATCCATTCAGATCTTGCACTAAGAAGCCAAGGTGTAATTATACAAAACAGAACTGCTAGAAAAGTGCATCCCTAGCTATAAACTGAAAACAAGAGGCTGTAACAGTGCGCAAAAATCTTACACTTGTGGGATAGTACAAGAGTGGCACTTCCTATGCCTGTCAGGAATCTCCCCATCACTTCCCTTTCTGGTGTACTAAGTCTCAAGTCCTAAGCCCATATATTTTAAGCCCCCATGGCCTTAGAACTGATGGTTGTTGTTATTATTCTTAACTCGGGGTTCCTTAGGACTAGAGTTAAAATGTTGGGAGATTATCAGCCTTGATTGACACAAATCAGGTAGGGAACTCCTTTTTCAGAGGAAAGAGCCAAATTTAACAGCCTGACGGTAGAAATATGTTCTGCTACTGGTCTGGCCTACATGACCAGGAAAAACCAAAAGGTAATTTCAATACTACGTAACAGTAAAAATAAAATAAAAAAATAAAAAAAAGGAACCCTCAAAGCAACCTCAAGTTCACAAAACACAAGGGAACTCTGCTCACTCAGACCTACCTCCAGGTTGTAGCAGCTCCATCTTTTGAAGAACTGGAGAGAACTTCATGTAACATTGAGGTTCATAGCTTGCCACTCAGTGAGCATGACAGGACAGATACAGAACATCAAATTTTTGAATTAGCTATTGCAGAACAACCTAGATGAGGAGATAACCTGTTGCTGCTGGCATTTTCACAGGCCACTTCATATTTAGGTATCAGCAAGCATTAGCGGAGGAGGGGGAGGCAGGTGTGGAAGGAGATACACTGAAATCTGTTCTCTTTTCATTTTGCTTTATAGAAAAAACTTTTTCATTGCCTCCAACTTATCCATGTGCCTGACAGCAATTCAATATTGGGTTTGGAAGTTTATACAGGAAATATTTCCCTGACCCCAAAAGTCAACATTTTCCCAGTAAAGCATGACAATTTCTAGTTCCTACAGTTTCTTCATAGCTTCAATTTCTTCATCAACTTGAAAAACACCTGAAATATCCTTGAAGTAAACAGAGAACTAATGGCATGTCAGTATTAGAAAATACAGTGGATTTTAGTACTTCGTATTCACATGATGGTGAAAACCCACAATACCAGGGAAAGGGTATTTTCCAGGCAGCTTTAACCAGCAGCCCAAGAAGAGGTTTGCAGGGGAGGGAAGGGTGATGAAATCCTCCAAAGAACCTTTTCATCCCAGAAATCCGAGTGTTTCCTTACAGAACAGTGTAGTTAGGCAACCCAAAGTAAGAGCAAAAGCAAAATTATTTATTTTTATACAACTTTCAAGAAGATCAGTTAAAATCCTAACTACTTCAACTCCAGTCTTCAGGACAGTAGGAAGTGCTTCCCAAGCTCTCAGAGCTGGCATACCTTCCTCCTTGTCAGCGGGTGAACAGCAGCATCAGCTCACAATGAACAGTATGAGGAAACATGTCAAAAGGTATAGCCAACGTGGGGGCAAATGGCTCTCCTGCCAGCTTCTTCCCTGGGTCAGGTGGGCAGCACAGCCTGTGGAATGCAAAGAGCATTCTTCAGACCAGCAGCAGAAGCCTTCCCACCATTAGCAGCAGCACAATAGCACAGAGGGTGCACTAAGGAAGTATCATGTATTTGGCTAACTTCCCTCAGAGTCTGCAGCTGATACTAGCTGAGGTCTGGAACCATCAATACTGAACCTCAAAACAGCTCTGAAAACCTCATGTACCAGCTGAAGGTCAGTGGCAGGTTTAAAGCTCCCTTTCTCACAAGCCATCCCAGCTGAAAGACAATTAATACCCTTAGGAAATAACCTCAGTTTGGAACTACCTTCACTGGTTTGCACCTGCAAATGGGCCTGCCCCTAATAAAGACTTAGCTATATGATTAACCATAAGCAAATGACTAATCCCCTTGGCTTCACTTCATTGGCTAGAGGCCAACCTTCCTGCAGTGAACCCATTGGACTCCATATCCCACATCCACATGTGCTGTTCTGTTGGGGAAGGATGCACAATGCCATTATAGCATGTGAAGTACCAATATAGCCAGTGAAATTCAGTTGCAACAAAAACCTTCCTAAGCCAAGGTCAGATATTTATGTCCTTGCCCAGTCATAATGGAGTCTGTCACTAAGGTGAAAAGGAAGAAAGGAAGATGCTCACTCAAGAAAGTTCCTCATGGCTTCACCCTCTGGCTTGCAGGAGAGGTAGAGCAGTCTTCGGATGGACTTGCAGTTTCGGATGGCTCGCACAACCCTGTAATCTGCAAAAACAGATACCGTGCTTTCCCAGTGACCCACCACCACCATGAGCTCTCCAGAAGGAATGATTGCACAGCAAGCATCACAGAACTGCACTAAACTGTCAAAAATACAGGGAAAAAATAATATAGACATTTTGCCACATCCTGTCTCAGATGCCAGCTCTTAAGAGGCCAGGGATGTGACCCACACTGCTATAGCTCAGCCAGTTTGACAGGGTAGAGCAGTGGGAGAAATCCCTCTGCTTCCCAGGGAGATGAAGGATGAGAAAAAAAAATTGATAATTAAGCAAAGGCATGTAAAACCTTCCACACACACTTGTGAGACCGCATCTGGGCACCAGGACCATTTTGGGACTTCCCCATGTACGCTGGAGCAAGTCCAGTGGAGACCACTAAGACGGTTAGAGGGCTGGGGCATGGCATGCACAAGGAGAGTCTTGAGGGCTGGGGTTATTCAGACAGGGGAAGAGAAGGTGAGCAGGGATCCATTTACTATCTTCAGGGGCCTCATGGGGGATTGCAGAGAAGATGGAGCCAGAATCTTCTCAGAGGGGCAGAAGAAGAGGATGAGGGGCAACAGATGCACTGCAGCAAGGGGAAATTCTGACATTTTCAGGAGAGGGTATCCCCCTGTGGACACATTCAAACCTCAACTGGGCTTTATAGCCCTGTGCAACCTTACACAACTCTGAAGTGGGCCTTGCTTTATTTGGGAGATCGCACCACAGACCTCCAGGGGCTCCTAAGTAATTCTGTGAGCCTATGAAAAATTAAAAAAAAAATTGGAGCCCTCTGCTTTAAAGAGAAAGCATGATAAAGGTACTGAAAACTGCAGACTCTATGGGATTTTAGCTGCTGTCAGCAACAAGGTAAGAACCTAAAGACTAAGTGAGCAGAGGATTTGGAGCCAGTATAACAGGTCTCACAGAACTTGTTCAAAATTCTGTTTTCAAGATGAAAACAAATAGCATATTCTCTCACGGAGCCCAGCCCGAGATGGGTTCACCACAGCAACAACAGGTTGGGCATCTTCCCACGATGACAGGAGTTGCGGCAACACGACCTCTGCTCTTCCACTGTGAAATTCAGAGTTTGAAATTCCTGTCAAGCAAAAAGCAACCACATGAACTGAGCACAGTCTCACCAGGCATTAGGTAAAACATGAAGTACTGTCCTTTGCTGCATGGAGCTAACTTGTTAGGATCCCTCTGCTTACTTCTGCTTCCGATTTTTCAGCAGTTAGTTTGAAACTTTCTGCTATGGTGAGTTTGAACTCACCATTGTATGCTGCGTTCCACCTGGCATCCTCTATTGCCTTCTCCACAACCTCAATACCAATAATCTTGGACAACTGGTGAGCCAGAGAGAGACCAATTGTGCCTGGAAACGAGGGATACAAAAATACTCTGTACATCCATGCTGAAGAAACAAGCCTTTAGATAGTGGGGATCATTTTTGGCAAGCAAAGCACCAGCCCTAGGAGCGAGGCTCATACGGCCACTGCTCACCTGTTCCACAGCAGATGTCGAGGAGGACGGTGTCCCCACCAGCCTGACTCAGCTCCCTGACTGCCTGGTACAGAACTTCTGCTCCACTCGTGTTTACTTGGAAAAAGGCATCTGGAGAGATGCGAAACTTCAGGCCGAGCACTTCTTCAAAGATGTGCGGTTCTCCATGAAGGAGCTGGAAGGGGGACTGCTCGTGGGAGCAGCGCGTCATGGTGCTAGCACAGCACACAAAAACAGCTGTTAGAAGGCAGCAGATTTCCATTTCCATTCCCGGGATGCTAATGTGCAGGGGAGGATGGTTCTCCCCCCACTAACTTTTATTTCATGTGAGCCTTTCAACAGGATCAAAGAATTCTGATTCTTTGTACAGGATCTGTAGTTTGCACAGCCTAGAATTCATTAAAAGGATCAAAATGAGTTCGCAGAAGGCAGCAGTCCTAGGGTCTATTCCCCAGTTTTGCTGCTAATGTGATTTACTGTCTTGGGAAACTCACTGCAGGTTTTTCCCAGGCTCGTAACTCCCATGAGGTAGAACCATAGTGTATTTAAGTATTTCAGGTCTGGAAAAACAAAAGATCTGGCCATCTTAACACCACATCTGCAAGAGGCATCCAAAATCTGTCATTCTCTTCAAGCACTCCCTAAACTGGTAGCATTTGAATTTGATCAGAGAGGGGGAAGAAAAAGG